AGGAAGCTGAGGCATGTTGTTACTCCAAAGCTACCCTGTGGCATCGTTACTGGCCATGCTTTCATCATGTGGACTCATTAAAGCAGACCAGAGCACAGTAAACAGGAAAGGAACATTTATTTAAAACTAAATCAACAGATTGGAGGCCCTGCAGTTACATGATGTGTATCTGACAACAGATCCTGATGTTTTTGCAAAGAGCGTCATCACAAATGGTGCAGGTTCCAGTGAGCATTGCCAAGGAAGATGCAGGATTTAATGCCATTTTAATAGTCACGGCCTCTGGTCATAGATGGCATTTAATAGATTTGAGCGCATTTCTGTTGCATACATCTTCATTCTTCTGCTGCATTATGTTGTAGTATGCTATGACCTTTGCTCTGACTGATGTATCTTTCCTATATGTTGTTCTATGAAATCCCTGACTCGGTATAAATCAGAGTCACATGCCGCAGCTCTTCAAAGCAGAGGTTAGTGTGTGCAAATGGGTGATTGTCAAAGCTTGATAATCTTATCTATCACATTGCTCGGTGGGCAGAATGCTTTTATTTGATTGGTCAGAATGAACCAAATCTTGGCTCTAATTTGGTGCAACACTTAATGTGACATAACAGTTCTACAGTGGTTGACTGTAAATAATTACATTTACATCAGTTCAGATTGAACAAAATTGTATTTGAGTATTTCCATTATTTGCTACGTTTATACTTTACTAAATTTCAGAGGGACAATGGTAATTTCCATTAATTTATTCAGGTTTTTCCTTAAATTGGTTTTACTGCTCAAAAAATTGTGCTTTTTTTATATGATTTTTAATTTTTGTATATATGTGAAAGTACTGGAATATAATGAAAATATTCCAAATTTATCATTTGGTCAGACTGCATTCTCTAAAGAAACAGTACTTTTTCAGTTTGATTTAAAGGTCAAAATGTGTTGTTCCTGTCCCCAGTGACTGAAGTAAATGGGAGTGACTCAGTGTTGCTTAAGGACACTTTTGTCTGGCGAATCTAAGGACACTTTTACAGGACTGTGTTATTGACGGGCACAGCAGCTACGGTGCTGTAATCTGACACTGTCTGTTTACGGTACAGCCTCCTTCACCACGAGGACACACATCTATCCTTTTACTCCTCAGAAATAATTTGAGCTCCCCACTGAGATAATACAATGAATTACCGCACCCTCCAGATGTACTATTGCTTCTAATGTTGATCACAATTTATTTGGATGAGTAACGGTGCTGTTTTAATCTCTGTACTCTTTCCAGCAGGCTTCTGGACTTTTAGTGGACTCTGGCTGTCTGTCTGTCCACCCACACTTTCTCTCCCTTGTTCTTCAATCCTTTAATCTCTGCATAAACCCATCATGACTTCACAGACCTGAGTCATACTGTATCACCTCAGACTCCTCTCGTCTCCTGCAGTTTCTTTCTCTGTGTATTTCTGGGGGGACCTGCTCTGTCGAGTGACTGAAGCTGGTGCTTGTTGATTCAGTAGGAACTCATCTGATAGCCAGCCCATGGTCAGTATAGAGTAAAAGAGCATTAAAATGTTAAGTAATTACAAACTCTGTCCCTGTAAAACTATTTATTTTTTATCCAAACCCAAAGAAGAACGAAGCCAAAAAAAGAAATGTTCAACTAATTACAATGTAATGAAATGTTCATGTTTAAGAACCAGCTGCAATAAAAGTCAGTACACCGAAAATTGGTGAGATTCTACTCTCAGTTTTTAATATCTGTGAAGAGATGTTGCTGTTCTTCCCATGTTTCTTTTAAGCTACTATCCACTCAAATTACTGCTCTGCCTTCAGGATTCAAGTCAGGGGACATACTTCAGGTCAAAGCCTTCACTGTCTTCTTCCTTAACAGCTCTTGTGTGATTTTTGCAGTGTGTTTAGGACCACTGTCCTGTCCAAATTTTACAAAACTAGGAATCACCTTTTCATTCTGTATTTGGAGAAACCTAATGAATCTACTGAAGAGTTACTCAAAAGAGCTGACATGAAATCATTGAGTAAGGAAGTGAAGTGGCAAATACTAAGGCAAGACTAAATCACTGACTGCAATATAGCAATGACCTGGGGCCCAGTTAGAAAAAGAAAAAGACCAAAAACTACCTGGAGGCACACAGTGGAAAAGGAAGAAAGGAGGTGGGTTGGAAAGCACGGACTGAGGCATGGACTGCAGCGACCGACCGGAAAGGGTGAAGACGTTCTGTGGAGGCCTTATGTGCCACGAGGCATGAAGCAAATAGGTCACAAGTAATGAATGAAGAATGGCATGGTTTGGGTCCACTCATCCCCTTAGAGCGATGGATCACTGCAATTCAATACAAAGCTGTTTTGAGTGATCATTTTCATCATATGATGAAACAATCTTATCCTGATGGGAGTGGTCTCTTCCAGGATATCAATGATGAGTATGAAAATGATGTGAATCATATGCTGTGGCCTTTACAGTCACCAGATCCGAACGCAGTTGAACAGCTATAGGAGATTTTGAACTGATGTGTCAGACAGCATCTCCACCACCATCATCAAAACAACAAATGAGGAATAGGTTTTGGAAGAATGGTGTTCATCCCTCCAGTAAAGCTCTGGTGGCCCAACACCTTAGTGAGGCACTTTGGCATTTGTCACCTGTCTGTATGTTTCAGAATCAGAATCAGCTTTATTGGCCAGGTGTGATGGACAATTTGACTCTGGTACATCGGCTCTCAATGTGCAAAACAGTAAACCAGCATAAGGCTGTGTAATATAACAAAATAGCAGTATTAACATCACCAAACAATGCAAACAATGCAGAAAAAGCAGTATAAACAGACAGTAAACAATGCAGACAACAAAGGAATGTTGATTGAAATGAGATAAATAGGAATAAAACAGAGTACTTAAAACTAGAGACCTGTACAAATCTGTATAATCTGTACAATGTATATATACACAGGCATTGCATTGAGGGCTATTGTCCAATCATACTGTCGTTGGTCAAGTGTTGGTCAACAGCCTGGAGGAAGAAACTGTCCCTGTGTCTGGTTGTCTTAGTGCACAGTGACCTGTAACGTCGTCCAGACGGGAGGAGTTCAAACTGATTGTGTCCAGGGTGTGAGGGGTCTGCAGTGATCCTCTGCGCCCTCCTTTTGACCTGTGAGGTGTACAGGTCCTCCAGGGAGGGCAGGCTCACACCAATGACCTTTTCTGCAGTCCTCACTGTCCGCTGAAGGAACAGACTCAATGATTCCTCTGTAGAACTGTATCAGCAGCTCCTGGGGCAGGTCGAACTTCCTGAGCTGGCGCAGGAAGTACATCCTCTGCTGTGCCTTCTTGATGATGTCCTGATGTTGGACGTCCACTTCAGGTCCTGGGAGATAGTAGAGCCCAGGAACTACACCACAGGACCAGCTGCTCAAACTCCCGTCTGTAGGCTGACTCATCACCATTTCGGATGAGACCATTGACCGTTGTATCATCAGCAAACTTTAGGTGCTTGACATAGGGGTCCTTTGAGATGCAGTCATTGGTGTAGAGTGAAAACAGCAGAAGGGAGAGCACACATCCCTGGGGGGCGCCTTTGCTTATTGTCCGGGTGCTGGATGTGGTTTTCCCCAGCCTCACCTGCAGCTTCCTGACTGTCAGAAAGCTCGTAATCCACTGACAGGTGGGGGCAAGCACAGTGAGGCTGAAGTCCACAATGAAGTATTGACTTCCAGACATACATATGTGTATCCCACAGAGCGCTTTGAAGGAAAGACAGTGGTTTGTGTAATTATAAGGCTCTACAGTATGATATAAATACCATAATCATATGAGATTAAATATTAGAGAGTGTATATTCATGTACAATGTTTTAAAATTGTGTACATACATTACTATATTGTCTGGTTCTGGGGTTAAGAAATCTAATGTCATCCACAAGAGTCCTTTACTGGCTCTGGTGCTGGTGTTAATTAGAGTAGTGCATAAATGTACTCCACCTCATTCCTGGAGTCAATTAGCTGTGACAGCAAGGGCTACGCAATCCTAAAACCAAATTAATGAGAGGATTTACTTATTACTACAAAGACCGGATATAATTACATTGAAACGTTTAGTGTTCTGGTTAAGTACTGCACGGCAGATGCTATTGTTACCTTCAGCTCTCAGAAAGGACAGCTGTTAATCATGTAGTCATTTTTGTGGCACTTTATTCATACTTTATGGCTTCAAGTGGTGTTTACAAAACAGCCTGCTAGCACCTGTGCCTCAAAAATACTCTATACATTACACAGACAGACATTCAAATACTTCTGCTTCAATCTTACAGATATTGACTGTAGGAAAAGCAAAAGTGCTGACAAAGATCTTACAACTATCTGGCCAGATAAATCACCAGGATGTGTAATCAAAAGGCTGTACTGGACGGAAACAGCAACCCCCAGCTCTATCTGCGTACGAACCCTGGTAAATCTAGTTGGCTCACAAATTCACACGTTAGCCGTAGATGTGTTGAAGAATAGATGAGAAAAGCACCTCAGGGGTATTGCCAACCTGATACGCATTCATCATCACACATACCAAGAGATTAAATTATGCACATGGCATCCAAAGGCGATTCGCTCTTTCACTAGAAATGGTGAATCTAGACTTTGGGGATTTCAGTTTATTAGACTGAATATTGGAAACGTATGGGGAACCACAGGAACCTTAGTGTGCTGTAATCTGTATTATTTTTATGTAGCACATTGTCTTGACTACCATCCAGTTTTTGGTGTGCAGTCACTCAACCTTTCTAGTTGGCTCTGCATCCATCAATCAATCAAACTTTATATGTACAGCGTCTTTTGTACAGGTTCATGCCGTTCATCCCTGTAATGTAAGAAAAAAAATGAAACATAAAATGTTAAAATAATAATAAAAAATTATATATTTAAATAAAATTAAAACATGAAATAAAGCAGATAAAGACAATGAGAAATAAAATACATGAGGAAATAAAACATTTTAAAACATGGATACAGTAAATTAAAGAAGAGCCGTAAAATATTCTAATAAAAAGCCAGGGTAGAGAGGTAAGTGTGTCTCTAAAAACATCCACACTTTCAGATGATCTCACGTCATCAGACTGTTCCAAAGACTCACAGTATAAAAACTAAAAGCTTCCTCACCAAATACAGCAATTTCCCCTGCACTTTGAAACAACTAAGAGACTCAAAGCTCCAGAGGACCTAAAAGGCCATCCTGGTTCACACACTGGAAGCACGTCAGACAAGTAGGCAGTAAAAGAATTTTAAAATCAATAGAGTAACTGACAGACAACTAATGTAAGGACTTTAAAACAGTAATGTGCTCTCTCCTTTTGGCTCTGTTTTGTTTCTATATCGGGTACAGCAGACAGGAGAGCACTACAGTGGTGCAGCCTGCTGGACATGAAAGTGCATCAGCCGCCCTGTCACTGTGAGAGAGAAATAGACGTACTTTAGTGACTTTAGTGATATACTTTACTTTTGATATGATAAAAAGCTGATTTGGCTTGGTTTTACTCATATATTTGTCAGCAAATGTAACTCACCCTGTGGAGACTGCTGTGTAAACAGATACTGCATCAAATAAAGTAAAAATAATAAGCTATATTGTGTCTTCATAAGAGAAGTTATAATTGCTTACAAATGCTGAATCAAATAAAAACTTACAATGTCCTAGTATACTATAGTGTACTATATCTGCATACTATATAATAGTGTGTTATAAGCCATTAATTAAATGTTTATTTAATGCCCATAAATGCACTGGATTTTGGCCAATACATGCTCATATTTGCCATTTCATCCTCAGAGAGGAAAGATAAGCTGCAATCCTGAAGAACTCACAACCCTTCTAATTAAAGTTGCCAAAAACAGTCAATAACAGAGAGCGTGTACTCACACACACATATCACAGTCAGGTTTGGTTCAGCTCCAACATAATATCACCATGATATACCATCCATTTAAAGCTACTACAGATCAGATTGCATAGGGATGTCGCTAATAATAGAGATATCTAATCAATGGACACACACACACACTAACCTTAGGCTGACTTTATGACTCTGCTATGCAATATCCCTGCAATACGTAACCAAAATCATCAACTGCATTTCTCAGCAGTACACAGATCTTCCCTGTGTGTGGAGTGTGCAGAGGATCTCTGAATGTGTCCTCCATCTATTAACAGAAAAGACAGATACCTAGAAGCGCAAGATGGAAGGAGAGGAAGAGACCTCTATTTCTGGAGACAGTATTCTCATGGTGTCCCAGGGGAGAGGGCTGCTGTGGGCTCCTGCTCGTCAGGTGACACAGTTGGAGAAACCTGTAAGAGAGGAGCAGCAGACGATAAAAGTCAGAAAGACCAGTAGATAAAATGGTTCATATTTTGAGATATTGCAACTGTGAAACAGCTACATGTTTAGTTTAAACAAAAAAAGAGTAAAAGCTGTTTCATTCCATACCTCCTTACAAAAACCTGCTATAGAGCATTTTGAGACTCAAATTTTAAAAGAAGAAGATGAAGAAATGGGCCCATTTTTTTTCAAAAATCAGGCCTTTTCTGTTGCTGTGACAACAACAAGGACAAGAGGAGGCAACCTTGGATGCCGGACAGCTTTGTGTCAATACAGCACTTGCTTTCTCACAAAGGCTGTCAGCTTTACAGTGCACCACCACTAACACACACCCCAGAGCAATTCCGTCTGCCATGAACTGATCTGAAATATCTGTGATCAAACTGTTTTATTCCACGATCAAAGGTGAACTGAGTGCATAACCACTGAAACCATTATAGATCTTAATGGAAGTCAGAATTAATGTCCCTGTGGTTAAAATGATTTAATTAATAGATCTAGTTAAGAGCTTAATGCTTCTGAAATGTCACAATGGAGTTTAAACAGTGAGAGGCTGACTGAAAATCAGCAGAGTAGGCAAGGTTAAACAAAACACATTCAGTTTTGTTTTGCACAGAAGTTCAATGTGTGATCAGTTTTACATGTAAACTGTAAACTCCAAAGCTGCCAAAAATAAAAAATAAATACCAAGGACATAATCTCAATGACATCAATGGTAGTTACTCTTTGGGAAAAACATAATGATCATGATGGCATGAATCAATTGTAAACATCAACATAGGTCATATCGACTGGTATTTGATCAGCTTGCCATCTATATTTAGGTTAATAAATTTAATTAATTTGCTGTTTTCAAAAAAGGGAAATAATATTTTTCTTCTTATGGTCACAGAAGGTGTATTTTGAATGGTAAATGTGTATTTGTATGTCAAAATAGTGTTGTTTAGCACTAATGTAGAGGATTAAACATAAATAAGGGAATTAATTATTAAATTAAAGGTCATGAGTTCTCATTGATTTGTAATTTATTAACACTGATTTATTAACAGGAGGGGAAGGATTATGCACCGGTTTTATTTACTTCCACATCACAGGTGAGTCATACACATACAAGTGTTTTGGCACAAGATAAAACCAAGAGCTTTCACCCTGAAAAAGCTATTAGACAGGCACCCAAGGGTACAGCATCAATCACTCACTACACTTGTCAGTCCATCATTTAAGTCTGGCATAAGAGCCAGTGGCAGCGATTTTGTGTTTAGTGTGACATCTTGTGGTGGAAATAAACATTTCAGCTACATGAAAGGCCAATTTTCCTTCAGCGTGTTATAGTAGCACACACTTCAAATAAAATGAATATCATAACACTTTTAATCACATTGATAAAGTTTTTGCTCCAGATATTTACTAATGATCAATTAACACATACTGAATTTGTAAAATGCTATAAAACTTTTGGATTAATGTTTGAGCTAAAAACACAACCCACACACATAGCAAGCAGTTTCAAGTCAAGTCATACGATATAGTAGGTTATAATCCTCTCTCATAATCTCTAAGAATTCAGCTCTTCTGTCCATATGAATAGACTAACACAGAATTCAAATCAGTTGTGTTTTAACATTTTTTTTTTCTTAATTTTTTTTTTTACATTTTTAAAACATGATAGCTTCTTTTCTTTTCCTAGGTAAAAATACACACGCACATAATTGCAAATAATTGTCTGTGATTAAAAAAGCACCTTAAACTTTAAATGTACTATTTAAGAAACCCTTTTCTGGCTTTCAGTAACTTGCTTTTAAAGTTTTGTTATCGCTATCACTGACTGTGACTGTAATTATAATTGTTTAAGGTGGTCTGAAAGGAAGAAATGTGGAGTTTCGCAGCAGTCAAGCAGAACATTTTTGAATTAATTATGGTGAGAAATGTAGTTTTAGGGAATTATCATTGGTTCACTACTTCTTAAACACCACAAAGAGAACAAAGTGTTGATAAAGAGAATATCCAGTTGGCCAAAAATATAGAACATATCAAACTGTGTGAAGGTAACTACACTCAGCTCAAACTCTATTAGCGTCTAAACTAAATTGAAACGATGTCAATAAAAACTGACTACACATCCCAGAAGGTTTCGAGGGCTAGGTGAATCAGAGACATGGCGTGTACCTTCCGGTTTCTCCTGGTAGTTGTAGTCCACAAGTCAGGGTCGTTTCCGTATATTTAGCTACCGTTGGTGGAATCTGCTTTGCAAAGACAACACGTGAAATTATTGATCAGGTAGGGCAAATGGTTCATTTTCCCTGCTCCTGTCTGTTGCACGTGTCGACTACATTAAAAACAGAAATTAATTTCTGATGGTCAATCCTTATTTTTCCGTTAGTGTAGTCTCTACAGCTGTGGTGCAAAATCAGCGCTTACATGGCGATGCATTTCCTTTTGTTCAGCTAGCTTACGTATGTGCAGAAATGCAGAAGCCTAGTTCTTATAAATGTAATTTGATATAAACAGTAATTGAAAGGATTCGTTAACGTCTGCTACCTAGTTGTTTACAGTTATAGACATACATACCGTGGGTTAATATCTCAGACGACACTCGACACGTTGACATTCATTTAGCGAACCTCGGCGAAGTTACACATTTATTAGCCATACAGTTAGCTGTATAAATATATGACCTGTAGTCTATGTTAGCATTGAGCTACCTTAGTTAGCATTAGCATTGGGCTTATCGCAGTTATGTTGTTTACATCCGGTTATGCGAATCTTTTGGCTTATTTGTATAGTTGTAGTTGATTGAGCTCAGGACAGCAGACCTGCTGGGTAATATGGGGTTGTCAGCTGTACATTACCAGCCAAATCATATATTTATTAATATGAATAATGTTTGTCAGGTTAGTGACAGTTGTAAGCGTCAGCTGTTTCTGCCATATTCACTAACCGACTTGTCTTGTGTCTCACAGGGTTGTGTGAATTTATGGAAACATGTCAAAGAAACGGGGCAGGTAGGGTCAAACATCAAGTCTGGTTAAACCCTTTTGATCCTTAAGTATAATTTGATATAAAAGAGTATACTTCATTATGCGCCTAGAATGACACAGCAGGAAATACTATACTCTTTTCCATAAATTAATCCACGTGGCTTTAAATTATTAACAAAGTAATTAATATGATCAGATTAACCAAAATCCGTTTGCAGTAATTTCACAGTACTATTGGCTCAGATAAAGCTTCACAGTGACTGTTTACTACCACACCTCTAAATTTTAGACACTAGGTGAATTTACCCTGCTGTATTTGTAACAATATGTTCAGAAGGCCAGTACAAGTTTTCATCTGTAGGATGACTGTAGAACTGTTGGAGACACCTACTGTATGCCCTACACATAGAATAACACTAATTAATATTAATGTGTGACAGGCTTACAGCCTGGGTGCATATGTAACCTTTATTTAGAATAGAATCCTCACTGTTTTGTCACCCTGGATGTATAGTACAGGTACAATACCAGTTTATTTCATTTCTCAAAGATCTCCTAGGTTAAAACAGGTAAACCAAAAATTTATATTAATTAGATAGCTAAAAACGTATCTCAGAAATGTTTCATTTTCTAGATCTACTTCTAATATAGTAATACTAATATGGATCCTATTCCCTGTATGTTTACAGGAAGCGTAGCAGTGGAGAGCTGAGTGAGAGCTCGGCCTCTACCTTAAGCCCAGACCCTGACAACCTGGTGGGCCGCAGGATCCAGCACACTTGGAGGGAGAAGGGAAATGTAACCAAGTGGAAAGGCACCGTTCTGGAGCGCCTAATTGTCAGCAGCTCCCTCTATATGGTCAAATATGATGGCTTTGATTGTGTCTACGGCATTGAGCTGTTCAAAGACAACCGGGTGTCCAACCTACAGGTGTTGTCAGAGAAAGTCTGTAAGTGTGATGGCGTCCATGTGAAAGCATGGTTATGGTCTTTTTTTTTTGCATGGAATTGATGTGAATCATATGCTATGGCCTCCAGTCACCAGTTCTCAACCCATAGGATTTGCCTCAAATGTAAAGAGATGAACTAAATTGCATGATTAATCATAATCTCTGACTTTAATTGATCAGACAACATCAGAACATCATGTAAAAAAGTGATACCTTATCACTTCAGGTGATAACACTGACAGTGTGCACACTTGAGCCCAATTGTTGCTGGACTTCAGTGAGAAATAATCAATAATTTTTCATACAGTCAAAAATGTCCTTATGTTTGTGGGCTAATGTGAAGCTGATATTAAGCACAACTGCTTGTTGAGGTTGTTGCAGATTTCAGCTGCACATTGTCAGCATTTAAATGATATTTTAATGTCCCGGTATACTGTATCATCTGGAATCTATAAAGATTTCTAGCTAACAGACTCATCAAAGTGTCTTGTCCTTCCTACAGTGAATAATAAGATCAAGGTGCCTCCCGGGGCAGAGGAGCTGGTGGGGCGAGCTGTGGAGCATCTGTTTGAGAAGGAGGATGGTGAGAAGAACGAGTGGCGAGGCATGGTGCTTTCCCGAGCCCCCATCATGACCCACTGGTATTACATCACCTACGAGAAGGACCCGGTGCTGTACATGTACCAGCTATGGGATGATTATAAGGACGGAGATCTACGTGTCCTGCCGGAGTCAGGTACAGTAATGAGAGCTTTGTTGCTGGTTTGCATGAAAACTGCCAACGTTTCATATTTCAGATACTTTTGGCAATGTGGGAAGGGGAGAATGAGAAAAATTTACATAGTCTGCATTACAAATGTTTGTTGAACATTTTGTGCAGTTTCTTTTTGAGTCAGTAGAAAGAGAATCTGTTCTTATCATGGAGAGATGATACTATTTAGAAAAAGCTGGAGAAGACAAGGCCAGACACAAATAAACTGGGGAAAGCGTGTTTGGCACGGACTAAGGGCCAGCTTCAAACTGTAGATAATTTACTGTTGTGATCTTGTAGTTTTTCACAAAAACATTACCTGTTCCTGTTATACTGGCCTTGTTTTGTCTTTCTCTAACTGATTTTTGTTTATCTGTCTGTCATCCAGAAAACAAACACCTGCTGCCGGCCGACAGGAAGCCCGGTGAGGAGCCAGAAAGCCTTGTGGGTAAACAGGTGGAGTACGTCACAGATAACGGTTTGAAGAGGACGGGCCTGGTCATCTACCAGGTTCCGGCAAAGCCCACAGTGTACTACATCAAATATGACGATGATGTGCACATCCACGTCTACGATCTGGTGAAGACCACCTAATACGGACTGTCTGATTTCATCTTCAGCTGACGGCTTTTCTTTGTCCTGACCAGTTGTTACCTGTTAAAGTGTTACAGATTTCAGTTTTCCTCCAGTGGGAGGCAATTTGATGAAGTTCAAAAGCCCTGTCTTGTTTTTTTTCGTTTTGTTTTGTTTTGTTTTTGTTTTTTCATTCTCACATTAGAAGACAACTGAATCCCAGTTTAATTTGACATTAATATATGACCATTAGGTCCCTTCAGTTGTAAATAAAGCAGGTCTGAGACCAGTTGTATAGCCCAGCAGATGAAGTGGAGCTAGATGTTTGTTTTGGTTAAATCACTCTTGTATAGTGCCACTATAAAACTCCAAATTCATACTTTTTGTAGCACATGAAACTAAAAGATTCCACTTTCTTACTTGCACCTCTGTATTAATTTCATTTCACTTGTCTGGCTGTGCAGTTGGTAATATTTTGACAAAACATGTCTGCTTTGCTTCATGCGTGTGTCACTGGGTAGGCCTCGGTTTGTTGGATATAGAAGCATGTGTGCTAATTTTACCATCACAGTGAACTCTGATTTCAGTTGAAGTGTATAGGCATCAACGAGACTTGAATGTGTTTCACATCATGGATATAAAATATCATGTATCATATTTCTATTTTGTTTCATCATGTAAACTGCAAGTTTTTCTACATTATAATATATGAAGAGTACTGATGTTGATGTCAAGTTGTTTCAGTGGTGTTTATGCTACAAACTATTTATGTAGTTCATGTAGGCCACCAACATGTCTTAGTATTTTTGGCCTGAAGTCTTTATCATTTGCCAAAAATGAATGATGTGATATGATACATTCAGGCCTCAAATTATTGTTTATTGTGACCCTGAATATGTTTTGTTCTGTAAATATAATCTTGAGACATTTTTATGAACGTAAAACAAAGCTGCTTGAAAATAATGTTCTTGTCCAGTCATTGCTAATTGCTGTTTGTGTTGCAGTGGATCTTTTGTTCATTCAGGAGAATGTATTCCTTCATGGTTGTCAGAAGTACAATACATTAATTTAGTCAAATATGAACACGGTTTATTAGATTAGGTACATGAGGAGTTCCTTGTAAATTGTTTTTATTGAAGATCTTAAGTTGATCACTGAAATTATTAAAAGTTGTCCCCTTTTTCGGTAAAACAAAAACATAGTGTACTCTGAAGGGTTTTGATCTGTTTTTAAATTATGATATGATGCACAGTTTTGCTCCTTTGATAAGTGTTGCAGTAGTTAACACTGTCACCTCACAGTAAGAGGTTGTGGGTTTGATCCTGGCAGCTGGCTAGGTCCAAAGGTAGATTCATTTTGCAGCAGAGTGATATTACTTATCAAACACATAAATAACATGCAACATATATTAACCATAAAAACCAAAAAACATGAGGAAATTGCTACAGCTTATTAAACTCTGTAATAGCAGCCGAATTAAACTATACCGCTGCGGTCTGCATCCTGGCACTAAATACCTACTTCTGGACTAGAGAGGACAAAACTGTCTGAGGTTTCTTCTGTTAAAGGGAGTTTTCCTTCCCACTGCTGCCAAGTGCTTGCTCAAGGGGGATTTGTTGGCTTTTCCTCAATAAAAAAAAATAAATAAATAAAAATAATAGGTCTAGACCTTACTTTGTAAAGTTTCCTGAGACAACCTTTGTTGTGATTTGGCGCTATACAAATAAAATGGAATAGATTGCCTGAAACAGGGGATGTGTATCATCTTTTAGAATGGAGGAAGTTGTCCTCTGTAACTGTTTAATATACAGTTGTACTGCAGGGTAAGCCTGTGGCTCCCATATGAACTGGTTAGGTTGATTGAAGACTTAAATTGTCTGTAGGTGTGAATGGTTGTCTGTCTCTGGGCTGACTTTAGCCCCTCCACGACCCTCGCAGATAAGCAAATGTAGCTGAAGCATGGAGGACTGGAAACTATAATTATGACCTCCAGTTTTACCGTGTGTCTTCAGCTGTATATTGTTTATATGGTGGCACAATTTAACAATTAACAAGTGTTGATATTTTTCTAATTAAATTTAGGGCCTAAGTGTGTATTATACTGTATACGCATGTAAATGAAATTAATTGTGAAACCCCTCTTTATACAATTACATGAGCTAAAAAAAGTCTCTTTAACCTTACTAAAGATGATGATTGGATTCATATTCTACACATCAGAAATGTTTTAATTCAGAGCCATTTAAATATTTACAGTGCAGCTTTCACACATACAACATTTTTGTAGTTCATTGGATGCTGATTTGACTCTACCTGAGCATTGTTTCATTATGTAAATACTAAAACAAAATCTAACCTGATGAGACACATTTCACCCACCTACTGTGGTCACTGTGAGGAAAGGTCGCTATTATAATAAGGAAGCTGCTGCAGTTTATGTCAAACGCAGAAGTTAGAAGGGCCTTGCAGCTCAGATGTGACGGTGTAAAAATGTCTTTAATTGCTGTGGAATAGCTCAGTCGACCTTATTGCATAAATAATGAATAAAATTTCTTTTCATTGCAAAAACAGTACTGCTGGAGCTGTCTCAGGGAGCAGCATAAGAGCGATTATAGATATAAATATTAATTATATGAGAGCTTCTATAGCCTGGTTGTGGTAGAAGAGTTGTTTTGACCTGATCAGAAACGTAGGAACTATCAACTGTCTTTGCTTCTTGAGCATTTAAACTGGAAGATTCTGACACTTTAATGTTCAATATTTACCAGAGAGGCAAATGGTGTAACATCTTTTTAAATGAGCTAAATAACAACAAAACTGCCAGAAATTACAGTTCGACAACACCTACGAGTCGATAGCCTTGCTAGTGACTCTGTGAAGTTGTACTTGGACTTAAATGCTAACACATGCAGGACAAAATATTCACAAAGATCTAATCTAGAGGAATCTGGGAACCTTACATTTCTGTACAAAATCTCCATGACCATGCACCTGATAGAGTTCAAGCTTAACAAAATAAAACACACAGTAGTGTGTCATGCTTTAAAAGTCAAGTGACTCAGAAGATACAGTTTCCCTCTAGTATTGCTGCTTCACCTTTTTCAAATTCCTGATTAGCTTCTCTATGTAAAGGCCAATGAAATCAGGGGAATAGAAGCTATTAACTGACACAATAGCTAATTTAAGAAATAAATCATCTAAATGCATGTTTATCTTATAACAGAAGACATTCCTTTAAAGATATAATACTAATTGATTAATTTGTAATTGTTGGTTGTGGCCCATAAAGTGTGCTATCAAAATGCTGCACACACTGACTGCAAAAGGCTTGTTTTGTAATGAATGATTTTCACTTTTCTGTAAATATACAGCACGGTGGCACAGTGGTTAGCGCTGTTGCCTCACAGCGAGAAGGTTCTGGGTTCGGGCCCCTGGGACCTTTCTGTGTGGAGTTTACATGTTCTCCTCGTGCTTGCGTGGGTTCTCTCCGGTTACTCCGGCTTCCTCCCACAGTCCAAAGACATGCAGCTTAGGTTGATTGGTGTCTCTAAATTGCCCATAGGAGTGCATGTGCATGTGTGTGGTTGTTCGTCTATGTGTTAGCCCTGCGATGGATTGGCGACCTGTCCAGGGTGTCCCCCGCCTTCGCCCGATTGCTGGCCGGGATTGGCTCCGGCCCCCCCCTGTGACCCCGTTCAGGGACTAAGCGGTAGAAAATGAATGAATGTAAATATACTCAGCAGCAGTTATTTGTCGTACAGTCCCTGCTGCATCTTAGAAATGGAAACAGTCACAACTTCTTGTCATTTATCACTAATGTATTTCATGGTTTATTTTATGTTCGTAAATTATTTTGCACCAGCAAACTACTTTAGAGAGGCCCCTACTCAGATATTTGTAACTGTATTATACTGATCACGATCTGCCATGAGGTGGAGCTTACGTCTGATAACAGGGCTGATCAGTGTTTGTTCATCAATTGTCAGCCCTGCAGACATGATCTCTTGCTGATTCCTGCTTCTTTTGTCCACAAATGTAACCATGCTGACTGCCGCTCCCTCCCCCGGAATCGCTCTGAGGGGCCAGGGTGCTGGTGGCGATGGGTGCCAGTACAGACATCGGGGAACAGTTGGCATACCATAATGGCAGGCTGAGTGCCCAGATAGTAATAACAGCGAGTAGGGAGTACATGCATTACACAAGGTCTGCGCTCTTGAGAATGTGTCTGCTGCAATTTGTCACCTGTTGTGCATTTCCTTTCATACATCCATCACTATTTTCTACCATTTTCTTTCCTTATGAAACCATCTGCCTGAACTCTTGGCAACTGCTTTTATTCTTCAGACATAATAATTATACACTCAAGTATCTTGCCTGAAAATCTGTCTTTTCTCACAAGGTCATAGTAACTCTGAGTTGGACAAATAAAGGACCATATGTGTCTGGTCATGATGTGTGATTTCCCATCCTGTGCTCGGAGACCCAAATGGCTAGATGACTGGAGATGAATATGTTAAAGTGGACATCTATTTTTCTTTGGGCCCTGAGAGTGATCATACTGCCCCCCTTTAACACAACAACGTGGGCAGTACAAACAAAAGTGATCATATCAAGTAGAGCAATATACAATGATCATTCAGCAGTTTTTGATTTAGTAATTGTTTTTGTATTCTGTAGAGGGATGCAGCCAAATTTTTATTTCTTTGACAGGCTTATCATGAGCTCTGTGAGGGTGCAATATGCAAACTTCTTTATGCAGCATGCTATTTATACACTCCCTGAAATATATGAAAGGTTATTATTAGAGACTCATCGCTTCAGTTGTTTCTATGAGATATATTATTATAGGACCTTCCTTGAAAACCTTGAAACTTTGTCTGCATTCTTATTGGCCAATAAACAAATGCACTTGACTCTTTTGTGTTGCTAAGCAACGCAAGCCAGTCCCTGGTTTTTATATATGAAAAACCAGCATGCAGCCAATCTGGAGACTTACAGGGTGCAGTGTGAATGAGACCAGCCACGATGCATTTTTAATTAAAACACTGTTTTTTGAGTGAAAAGGGGCTGCATACATTGTCTGGGATTGTAATTAAAAA